GAAGGATGAAGCAGCCAACCGGAAAACAAGCAACAACTCTGGTCGCAATTATAACGGGCCAAAGGAGCGCAGAGAGCGCATGAGCGGGGGCGTGCGCCAGAAAGAGATGGCAGCAGTGCGTCCGGGCAACAGAGGATGCGACAGCAACGTCATATACAGTAGGCATTCCATAACGCAAACTGAAGAGAGAACTAACATCTCATTGCATTTCGATAAACTAGATCATTGAGATAAAGTCTAATGAATACGATAAAATACGAAATAAATACAAAAAATACAAAATAAAATACGAAATGTAATAAAACATAAAAATACGAAAAAGTTCTAGAAAACATACAACCTAGACATGCCGCAATCGACATGCGGCATATTGAAAAGCATGCAACAAACATTGGCTTGCAAATAATATGAAAAAATACGTTAAAAATGTAGCTAACGTAAATGTATAATAACTAGTCTGTTTCCTTTGCATCGAGGAACGTCTGTAGCTACAGTTATATTTTCATGCCCATTTAGCTCGCTACACAAAAAGGAGCAGAAATGTTTAGCCACAAATTGAATCTGCGGTGAGTGAGTTAACAAGCAAGAGAGAGGGCTAGATGGATGTACTATAACCATGCCAAACCATATCATACCATACCTTAGCACACCACCCAACCCAGCGGGGATATAGCATGATGATATAGGGGCAGACGACGGGAGAGTAGTAGTTTTCGAGTGGTGCAGAGCGGCACAGAACGCTAATTAAAAAGATACTTGAGGGGAGCCACCGGAAACAAAACGGAAAAGCCAAAGAAGAGGGGCGCAGGCAATGTGAAAAAATGTGGGAAAATGGCTGAAATGCGAATAGAAGGCAAAAAAAAAAGCAAGTTAACGTTGCCATGAAATCGTCTATGAAATGTGAATGTAATCTGATGAATAAAGTGCATCTGCCTAACCCCCATCATGCAACCACTTGCAGATACAGATAGATGATGATTCACATTTTCTGGCTCTTTCACCGGTTTCCTCATCGCTTTTTTTTATATTTCGCAAATTCTCACATTCATGCGGTTCATTTGCGCAGCCATTGAGATTTGAATGGCATTTTTAATTGGTACATTTTACGCAGCCATCCTTTGAGCACAAAGACTCCGCCAGATCCTCCTGCTCCAAATGCCCTTCGCCTTTGAGCCGGCCATCATCCAATTTGATTTGTATTTATTTAATGAGTTATTAATTGCATTAAGCTCTCGGCGTTTGAGAACTTTGCATTTACAAAACAAAAAAGGAATAAGCCAGGAGATTGGCGAAAGTTTTTCGGCTTTTGCCCGCATTCAGGCTGAAAACTATGAAAGTAAAGAGTTCGCACAATTTGCAGCTTTGAAAAAACAACAGGCGGAAAATGCAAGTGCCAAAAATGTAGCATACTTTTCAGCGCTAGTTACATGCGAATGTGTTTTTAATTTGCTGATTATAGAAATCTTTGAACGATAGTGTTTAGATAAATAACAAAAAGGACTACAGTAAGGTGTCAAATAGGCCTCAAATATATTCTTTCCGATCTAAACAAATTGGACTTGTTAAAGTAATGATTGTTTTGGGCCGCACAAGTATTTTAAAATTATGAAGTTACCACAGAAGGCACTTGACTTTGGACACGAATGTATTCACTGCATCAAGGGAAGGAACTGAAAGTTACTCCCAGCCATTATATCCCAATTTCAATTTAAATTTCAGCCTGCTGTGGCCCATCCGCAGGGCAGAAACAAATATATATATATACGTATATATATTTAAACAAAAAAAGAAAACCGAAAGGGAAGTGAAGTGAAGTTCGGGGAAACCGCAACAGCAATGCTCGACATAATGATTGTGATGAGGGGCGATTATGTCATCGTGGATGGGCAGGGCAAAAGGACTCGACACACTTGACTTCCGGTTGGAGGATGGCACCGAGATGTTTGCCATATTGTGTGAAAATTTGTGTGTTCTCCAGCCACTGCCATTGGTGGTGGGTTCAGCTCTCAGCCAGCCTCCAGCCTCCAGTCTCGTTTTGTGATTAAAATGTTTGTCATTATCCGGTTGGAAAATTGTCCAAAATTGTGTTTGTGCCGCGGGCCGTGCCACACTTGCTTATTTCAAATCTGGCATCTTTATCCCTAATTGCCGCATTGTGTCCCATTGTGCGCCCATCAAACCGCGCTGGCGCTGGCGATGGCGATGGTATCGTATCGAATCGAATCGATTCGGATCGTCTCACAGTTTCAGCTTCGAACCACGACTGAGCCAAACAGGTTGCCTTTGGCTGCAAGTCCACGGGAAAGGAAAAGCCGCAGCCCGATGCCATCGATCAGTTGCAATCTGTTGGACAAGCGAACATTGGTCGGCGGAATAAAATAGATGCCATTAAATAACAGACAAGGTAGTACCAACGGAAAACAATTGAATCCTTGATAACTCTGTAAGTTTACCTACTTACACATAGTACAAGTGCCAAGTGAAAAGTAATACTGCAAGTGAAGCATTCTTCGCCTAGCTAAAAACTTCCAACTAAATTGATAGGTAAGTGCCATTTAAATTGTCTTCATTGCAGTTTCTGCCCCTTCACGATCGCCATGAAGTTCTGTATATAAACCTTGAGATCCTCATCATGGATCATTCCTCATCATCCTTCTCGAGTTTTTAAGCAGACGAACAATGTTAGGAGCAAACTAGTCCTGAGCTGTTTGCATGTTTAAATGTTTAAAAGTGAAATTGGGCACAACACTTTCAGGTCTAAAGCAAATAAAATTGGACACAACTTACTTTAATCAAGTTTGCCTCATTGTCCCATGTACCAGTTCTTTAAAACTGTTCCAAGTGTTAAAATAATCTATACATTTTAGAAAATCTCTGCTTACCTAACCGATAGATATTCGGCTAAAATCATATTATTTGAAAGGGCTTATCAAGTTTCTTCTGTCGCGACTGGCAAATGTGGCTAATTCTCAGATGACAACATTTCGTTATAATTGGTGGATGGATCGGTTTTGATTTTACGTGCCGTGTGGCTATCATTTGCATACCTCATACCTACCAATTGTGTAAACAACAACTTCATTAGTAAACAAAAAGTTCGCTGGGTGGTTACAGAACACAAATCCTAAGCCCGAAAACCGATTCCCTTTCAAACGCCACAAATCAGTGCATAATGACATGAAAATCTGTTGGCTTTTGTCATGCCCCGCGGCCTCAAAGCCCGAAAAATGAAAAAAATTAGTTGGATGGGTTAGGGTTTTGGGTTGGAAAAGTGTTGCGAAAAGTGGGGTGGACAATTTGCCTTAAATTAGGCGTAAAATTCACAGATTGCTTACTACAAACACCGCACACAAGCGCCTCATCAGGTCGGTCCACCCCCAGAAATTAAAGGGTAGCAACATGCCACTTGTCATCACCATCTTGATTATTATTATCATCGTCATCAGACGGGAACCGGATATGATTGTTAGTATCTATTAGCACAGTTGAACCTCCCAAAGACCTACCCTATGAATAATCTGTAGTAAAAAGCGATTTTTTACGCAAACATTGTCATTTGGTTGACAAGTCTATTCTTAATAAAATGATGAACATCTGAACATCTTTCTCACTTACGGAAGTTTGACTGTAATTGGCCTGGTCTACGTTGCCCGTTCAACTTGCTGAACAACCCCGCTAATTGAGCACTTTTGTCGCGTTTAATAGAAGGGGATATTCCGGTTCTTACACTTGACGCAGATTTTTAGCTGGACGCTGATATGATAGATCATATTATGCTATAGATACTCCCTGCTTGCTAATCAGCTTCACAAGCAGTGGCAGCTAAATTAAGGTTATGTTGGCAAGCAGTTCAGAGAGAGAGAGAGATAGAGAGCGGGGTATATGTTGCCTACCCCTCTGCCATTTAATTTTGATCAACAAATACATGTGCATAATTAAAAACAAAAAGAAAAGCATAACACGCACACAAAGACTGAAAAAAGTTGTTAATCTTTTCATGCCGACGCATAATTAAAATGTGAATATGGAAATTTCAATGGGAATCTGTGCAAAAAATGCCCCAAAAAAATAAAGGGGCGATAAAAAAGCAGAGAGCAGAAAGAAAAGACCAAGCAAAGGACACGCAAATACACAAACGTACACATACACACAGAAACTTAACGGTTTCCTTCTGTTATGGCCATCTTGCTTGCACCTCTTGCGCTTTTTACCGCCAGCTCGTTTGCATGCGTGTGTGTGTGTGTGTGAGCGCAAGTAATTGCGAAATATGAAATATGAATGCATAATGAGCAGATATTCGCCAAGTGTGCAAGAAACTTCAAGCGGCAATGGGCGTGGCAGGTGGAAAAAGTGGGAGGCGGAAACGGAGGCCAGGTGACTTTTATGCTAAAATGCGCACATCGCGCGTGCATTTGCATTTTGCCAGCCTTTTCGAAAGCAGTGCAAGGACAAGCACAAATACACACAAACAAAAGTAGGCACACACACACTGGCAGGAAGAATCACAGCTACAGTAAACACCCAAAAGCAACGACCTTTAATGCGGCCCTTCTGGAAATTTATATTTTCCAACAAAAGAAACATTTTAAAACATTAAATTATTAAATATGCAGATTTTTTTGTCTACAAATTAATATGAATGAATCTTAAAATTGAATAAGAATTAAAAAAATAGAATATAATATCATGAAAGATATATGTATGCAGATCCAGTACTCAAGTAGAATTCAAATCAAAAGCTTCCATAAAATCCAATCTCTAGATTCGCCATCTTCTGGCTTCACTGTACTCGGCTTGGCTAAGACGGCAGCCAAGTGAGTTTGGAAAACATGTCAAAATGTTGGGGAGCTCATTAAAATAGCGTTGGCTATTTGCACACATCACATCTCTCAGTCACTAATTTGCAGGAGGAGGCGGAGGAGCATATCCTTGAAGGCGCCTCTCCCCTGTTCAAAAGTAATGCCCAACTCCCTTTTTCCAGCTGTCGCCCACCGGATCAGATGGCAGAATACAACATGAGCCACATGGTGCGACCCCAGGGATTCAGTTTGGAGGAGCTGCGCCAAACTTTGGGTCAATCGATGATTCGGGAACAGTGTTATTTTATATATGCCACCAGCAATATTCTGGAGGTGATGCACATATGTACATTGTATATATATTATAATAATTTACATGTTTCGTCAGATTATAGCAGGATTCGATCAGCTGCTCAACCAGGAAGAGATCGAATTCGGGGCAGAGCAACTGGCTCCGGTCTATGTAACCGGCTTGATGGTTCATCTACTCCATCATGAGGACATGCCGGCGACCCTGGTCAAGAGAACTCTCTTCCTGCAAAAGTGCTTCGATTATATGGCATGCACCGAGGAAACGCACGTAAGCAACCGAAGCACAAATGGTGGGGCTTTTGGATAAGACTATATGTATATTTACGATCCTTCCCTGCTCTTTGCGCAACAGATCCACCAGCTGTGCGTGTATATCCTGGGCCTCTTGGATACCAACAGCTCGAGCATAATGCTGAACCTGATCCTCGGCTGCCGCGTGGCCAGTCCACTGAGCACGATGGCCCGCGTTGTGTGCAACTGCCTGCTGTGGGCCATGTTGGATAACATGTCGGATTTGGGCCTGGACTCGCACCGATTGCGTCCGGCTGGCACACTGCTACTCGTCGTCGCTGTGGTGAAGCCGCGTACCTATGTCGACTCCTATCTGCATGCCCTGCACCTGGTGGTCCGCTTGATATCCAGCATCCTGGTGGTCGGACCACTCGGTGGCCAGGGCCAGCAACTGTGCCTGGAGACCGGTGCGCCGTTGGATTTGATGAAGCTGGACAAGGACGATTGCTCGATTATAGTTCGCTGGCTAATCGCCATCGTTGAGGAATTGCGTCCGCTGATGATGGAGAACAACGATTTGGGGCATTTGCATGAGCGCCTGGTGCTCTTGGAGTCCATATGTGAGCTTATGCAGCTCCTGCATGGTCACTTGATTAAGTGCTATCAGGAAAAAAGCGACCTACAAGGCATGTAACATGCCATTTTCTAGCCGCAAGTTAATCTTTCAAGAACTCAGATATACTTTGATGAGAAATGATTGTGAATCTTTAACAATTGTCCAAACTTTGAAACTTATTTCAAGTAACAATCGCATGGTATATGCATTAAAGCTAAGCATTCAACGATTTTATTGTACATCATAAAAAGCTCTTTTGATATAAAGTTACGAGGAAATCTTTAGATTTCGCAAAACTATCGATTTTAATGATACAAATATCAATGCTACTTATTAGAGGCAAGCACTTAGTGATTTGAATATCTCATGTCAGCATAACCAGCTGAAAAACCTGTGGACATAATCCGGAAGTGCTATACCATTATTATAATCTCCCGAATTACTTATTCGTCCAAAACGGAATCTAGCCACTGCTCCACATCGTTTTTGCTGGCTGCCGAGGAAGGCGTGGCCGGCTGCACCATGGGCATGGGCATGGGCATCGTGATGGGTCCCATGGGTCCCGAGCCTATATCCAGTTGCGTATTGGTCATGGCCAATAGCTCGTCGAGTTCATCGGGTTCAGCTGCAGAGGCAGCTGCTGGTTTCTCCGCTCCTGCAGGGACTGCCTCCTTATTAGACTTAGCAGAGGCAGCTCGAGACTTTGCGCCCCCATTGGCGTCCTTTAGAATGCGCTGCTGGTAAACGGACTCAGCCCGTTCGGCGGCCTCCTCCTGGGCGACAATCTGAGCACGGGTGAACAATGACGACGGATAATCCATGCGCTTGTAGAACGGAATCGTTTGCAGACCCGCATTTAGGCGGGTGAGGTTCAGGGTGAAGTAACCACTGGCAGCCTTGGTGTGCAGCTTGGTCTGACCCTCGGCCACGTTGGCCCATTCGCGCTCTGACCCAAAGGTGAAGTGGCCGCCGCCGAGGCTGGGAAACTGGGCCAGCTGCTGGAAGTCGCCAGCCCGCAACTGGGCACGGGCATTCTCATCGATGGGTGCACCGCCCAGGCCCAGTTGCTCCACATCATCGGTGTCGCTGGGCAGGGTGTCCAGCATGTCCCTGTTCCTTTGCGGTGCCAATGAGGAGCGGCCTGCTCCACTGGACTGCCAATTGCCACGCCTGGGAAACCGTGGCTCATCGCTCGAGTCCGCCACATCTACCATGCTGCGACGGGAGGTGGGTGGTGGCGATCCCGACGACGTGGTGGATCGCCCCTGTTCCTTTTTATGATGATGATTGTACTGCTTCATGTTCCTGCGCTTTCTGCAAAGGATGGATTATTATTTTAGGTGCGAGCTGGCGAGGCGAGTGGTTACGTTGCACTTACTCCTTGGATCGATCGTCCTTGCCGGACATTTTGATGGGGGTTGTGTGGTTTCCGGGGTGTTAATTCTCAGCTAAATCCGATTCTAAATCGGTTTGTTTATTCCTTCGTTCAGCGGTGCGAGTGCGAGCGGGATGGCATATAGCGGCGAACAGCTGTTCGATTTACTGAGCGCAGGGTGGCCAGGCTATAGTGTTGTAACCTAAAAAGCAACGTAGAACGCTTAGTATAGAAATACATACTATCAATACATACTTTTCACATAAATAAAATGTACACTGAAACACGTTTATAACTACAAAATAAATTGTTTCTAGTAAATGTGTAATATAACCGCCAAGCAGTATGGCACCTCTGCGAGAATCCATCAGCTGATGTCGATAACTTTAGACGATAAGCTGCCGAACGAAATTGAGCATTTTCACAATTATTTAGCTAACGAAGCACCGGTGATGTTGGGCTTTCTGAGGGAATTGCAAGGCAGCGGTTCTGAAGCGAATCAGCTGCCCGGCAACATATACACCGAGTTCTTCGCGGACATTGTCGCGGAGCCCAGGGAAAATGGATGCAAGTCAGCGGATCACGATTTCACACACGGATGCTCCATGCTGCGCACCTTCGATACCGAGAATAGCAATCAATTGGAGCCGCCGGCGGCCACTGATGCTGATGTCTGGATCTTTGGCTATGGGTCGTTGGTGTGGAAGGCGGACTTCCCGTACATAGACCGACGACGCGGCTTCGTTTGGGGATTCAAGCGTCGCTTCTACCAGCACAGCATCGATCACCGGGGCATTCCCGAACGGCCTGGTCGCGTGGTCACTCTGTTGCCGGGCGATCCTGCCCAGGATCGCGTCTACGGCGTGGCCTATCGCATAGCTGCTAGTCAGAAGAGTGCTGTGCTGGACCATCTGGATTACCGGGAGAAGAACGGGTACGAGCGCTGCAGCTTGGAGTTCCACGAGTATCCAACTGACGGTGCCGAACCAATTCAGGTGATCATGTACGTAGCCACGCAGGCGAACGATTCCTATGCTGGTGATGTGTGGCAAGTTCCCTGTATCGCAAGGCAAATCTTCAGCTCTGCTGGTCCGAGTGGTCCCAATCGTGAGTACCTGTTCAATCTGGCCGCCGCCATGGATCAGCTCTTTCCCGGTGCTGTAGACGAGCACCTCGCAGAACTGGTGGATTGCGTGAGGCGTTATATTGCTGAGGATGAGCCCCAGTTAATACGGCATGCCCTGTTGCATGAGATATCCGGTATTCTGGAGGAGGAGCAGCTGGTGGAGCAGGCCCAGCAGCTGGAGAAACTTTTGGAGCGATGCCAAAAGCCTGGCGGCCGCGAATGGTTGATCCACGGCGCATTGCAAGCCAAAAACCAGTCGTGACACCCACATGTTCCAATAGAAAATTACTATTTATTGTAAGTACCAAGAGACTTTAGTTTCTTTGTAGATGCACCATTCCAAATAGACCAATAACATTGACGCGTTACAGAGGCTTCTTACGAATCAGAATTACGATTGTGATTTCAGTCATGAATTTTAAACATAATTTATTATAAAAACATATTTTGAATATATGTAAATTTAAAACAAACATTTGTTGCATATTATTTAAACTAAGTGAAGATGTGATTTATGGAAAAAATTAATATGGCGTCTGTAGTTGTTATACAAATCATAAAATGTCATAAAGAGTCGTTCTAAGCCGGATGGTTCGTATAAATCTACGTTGATAATAATATTAATCTTTAAATTTATAATTCTGGAATCACGGCATTCAGATAGTACTCAGTATAGCGATTATCAGCTTTCGGCATCTAATTCAATACACATTTGGTTTTGAATGATGCAAGCTAACCATTTACTTTCTGTACAATGCCTTGTAAACTATAGCTATAAATTGAGTCAGGAATTTTAATTATTTTAGTTAAAAGTTTCTGGCTAACTCAATTAATTTTTACGGGGAATACCCTATATAGTGAACGTGTAGAATTTGGTTGTACTACGCTGGTCACACTGCGACGAAAATATCGATGCCAGCGATATCGATAATTACCAAGTTAGCTATCCATCGATGGCGCCCAGTCATCGAAGTTTTCACAGCTCTAACAGTTGAGACAACATTTTGAGAAATTGTCGTTTGTTTTGTCGTGCTTTTTGTTTAAACATTGCGTTGTGCTTTTTGTTTATCGCCCCCGTGTCGATCTGATCTGATTCGGTTCGCCAATCCAATTGGATTGGTCAAGCAGCACAAAAGTCCAACAGCGGAGTAAATCGCCATGAAACAGGTGGGCGGGGTTTAATGGTTTGCGGGGGGGTTGGTTGGTATTTAGTGGGTGGTTGTGTTGTGGAATGTGTTATTGTTGCTGTTGTTTTTGTTTTCGTTGCTGCTGCGATGATGTTATGTGCCCTGTTTGACAGTGTTTTTGTGTGTGTATGTGTGTCATATGCAAATTGGAATGACAACATGTTTGCATTTGCTAGCTGCTCTCTAATATCACCCATCACATCACCGTTAGGTTGTCGTTGCTGCTCCAGATGAATCATTTGAACTCTCCCCCTCTCCCATCTCTCTCTCGCTCCCTTTCGCTCGCATTGCTCTGCCAAGCTGACTCTTATCAGAGCAGCGAAAGTCACTGTTCTATCTTTATTGTTCTTGTTCTTGTACTTGCTCTCTTGCCAACAAGTTCCTTGTTGGACTACATTAACATTACCAACATGACGCAAGAGTGCTACCCCCACCCCCCAGACCCCTTCCCCACACCCTCTGGCTTGGAGCTCCTTTTTATTGCCTACTTTGCTGAGTTATTGATAATGTGCTCGCACACAAGAAGGATAAAGCATAACGGCACATAACTCATTAGCATTACCATGCAAAATTCCATACAACCATTGGGTGTTAGAGCGAGAGAACCTATGAATTGTGAGAGAATGCCAGTATTTACATTTTAGCAGATTACATTTTTTAGTATGTACTCGCATGTGGGATTTATTACTTTGCTTTCTCAAAAAAAAAAAAGAATAGGCATTTTGGGGAGCTTCGCCTCCTAACAAGTATCGATTCCTGGTTAAAGCAAGGGAAAACCTCGGTCAGGGTTGCCAACGCATTGGGCTAACAATCCGAAATCAAAGCCAGCGACAACCATACGGACTCGCTGGTGCTTTGCATAACCATATAACCAGGATATTCAGGACGTGCCAGTGTGCTTGTGTGTGTGTACTCCTCCGTGTATGTATAACACGTGCCGTGGAAACTGCGCGGAAACGCTGCCAGTTTCAGTTTTTCGCTGTAGAGCATTCGACGCGTTCGCACGCGTTGATTTTTCCCCCAAATTCTTAAAAGAGAACCCACAAACATTAAGCCAAAATTAATAAAAAAAATTTCAAAATTTTCAAAAAAAAATATATACATTTAGAGAAAATCGGTTCCAGATGTTTTCGCCAAGTAAATCCAGAGAAGAAGCTACAATTTAAAAGAAAAAAAAATTATAACCGCTGTATTGGTATGTGTGTGCTGCTCCTGCGCTGCCTCAACAAATTTTACAGTTGTATGTGTGCTGTACTTGACTGTGTGTAACTCGTGTCATGTGACCGCGCGCGCAAAACATTTTGCATTGTTTTTGCCCAAGCAGTTGCTTTTGTTGTTGCAGGATATCCAGCGTGTACGCGAAAAACGTTTTTTGGGGGCGAAATATAGCGTAAGCCTGCGCAATAGTCGCTCACATGGCAGCTGGCCATACACACACATGCCCACAGACATACACACACACACACACACGCACACAGAAGCGCACGGATAAACAGGAGCTAGCCGAGATTTTTTTGTGCCATTAAAATGAGGGAAATTCAACGGCGAACGCCTTGAAGTAGGCTAAACAAAAAGCGATTGATTCCGTTACATTTCCAATCAGCATAAATTGCAAGCTGTG